CTGAACACCTGCCCCACCGGCGGTTCGGTGGGGGAACCGGGCAGAGGGTCCGGCCGGGGGGCCGGGACCCGGGGGTTGTTCCTCACGCTCCGGGGGCTCCAAACGCGGCTTTTTTTCATGTGGTTCCGGCGGCTCCGCATCTGGGCGTTAGGGAGCAGGTACCGACTTGCTGGTGTGATTAAGGAGGGACTGTCAGGGCTGAGCTGGATCCACCCAGAACCTTCTCCAGATCCACCATCTGCATAATTGGCTCCTGTGCCAGCGTCGGTGAAACCCCAGTCACAGCCTTGAATGCAAACCAAGCCTCACCACTCACCTTCCTGTGGTTTCCTGCAGTTGATTCCAGCAGCGTTTCCCAAGCTTTAGTTCCAAAGCTGCTTCTCTTTCGATTTCCTCCAGGGACACTTGATTGTGTGTCCCTTGCCCAGGGACTGTGATCAAGGCTGAAGCTTCCCCCTGTTTTTTGTGAGGACAAAGAGCTGTGCTGGGTTATGACCCCAAAACTCAAGGAGTTTCCTGCTCTGGGTTTCCTTGTACAGTTTAAAATGTTTGGTTTACATGTTTCTTTCCAACCTTTTGCTTCTTGGGATCTTGGATCTTTGCCCACCCCCCAGGTCAGTCAGAGTTGTTCTATTATGGAGTGGCCTTTTGCACTCACTGCTTGATCTCGAGTGAAGATGTTATCCAGCCATGAATAAATGTGGTTACAGCACTATTTTTTTTATTATTTTCTTCCTTTTTGAATACTTTGATTCAAAGAGAATAAGGATTCCTTCCATATCCTCCTGTTCTCATAGAATCATGGAATCCCAGACTGGTTTGGGTTGGAAGGGACCTTGAAGACCATCCAGTCCCACCCCTGCATGGGCAGGGACACCTCCCCCCAGCCCAGGTTGCTCCAAGCCCCATCCAACCTGCCCTTGGACACTTTTTTTATTTCAATCCTTTAACTTCCCTGCTGGCAGCTGAGGCCTGGTGTGTTTGGGCACGTGTTTTGCTGCCTGGGGCAGCTGCTTGTCCTGCCAGGGAGACCTGCAGGTGATTCTGTCTGTGAAGTGCTCCAAGAAGAGGACAAGGATCCTTATCCCTCTTTCACAGCTGGGAAACTGAGGCAGGGAGCTGCTGTGAGGGGCACAGCCTGGAGCAGTAGGTTGGTGGCAGATGTGGGAGCAGGTCCCTGCCTGTCTGATCTCCTGTGCAGAGCACAGCCCCAGCCCCTGCTGAGCTCCCCTCAGGTTTGTTGGGGCTTCATGCAGGTTTTCCTGGTGTTAGGTGATGTGTCAGGGATGTTATTCTTGTTCCTCTGGAGTGATGTCACGTGCTGGGCCGGGAGGTGAGGGCTGCAGAGCTCCCGGGCTGGTCTGGTTCCCAGAGTGTTGCCCTGGGGGGTGGTTGGGAGCAGCCAAACAGGAAACACCTCTGGCACCTGGGAGCTTCCCTGGCCCCCACCTGAGGCAAACACCCCAGGGGTCTCTGGAAGGCTTTGCAGAGGGGTTGGTGAGGTAATTTATTCCACAGCTCAGCTTCTGCTGAGCCAAACCCTGAGAGTTTGTCTCTGCTGAGCCAGGGGGGCTGCTCTGGAGAAGCTGAGATTCCAAAGCTCCTGTCCCTCCCTCCTGTCCCTCCACACTGACACCTGCCCCCACGTCCTGCACAGCCCTGAGGCAGGAGGGACCATCCCCTCAGCCCCCCCACCCTAAAGGTTCCATTGTCCTCAGCAGGTGAGGTGGGGAGGGTGGGAGGGTTCCCTGCTCCTCCCCTCCGACTCTCCTTCGCCCCCTCACCTGGGCTCTGCTTCTGGCTCCATCCTGTGCAGCCTCTCCCTTGATCTCTACAGCCCAAGGCTGGACCCCCACTGCTCAGCTTGCTTTCCAGAGTTCTCTGAGCTGGAAGAACAGAGCAGTCTCTTGCAGGAGTCATTCATGACTTCAGCAATTCATTAATCAACAGAATTTTGCAGATCTTCCCCAGGCAGCCCAGCTAGTGAAGCGGAGTCTCCTCTTCCCAGTTCCTAGAACTTGTTTTGATTTTTCCTTGCAAAGCAGTGAAACATGGAGGCTCCTTTTCATAGTTCTTTAGCTCTATTATAATTCCCAAAGCTTTTGTCCAGTTATCTTCTTGTTTTCTCCTGGCACAGCCTTGGTCTAGGGAAGGAGATAAGGAGACAAGCTCCTCGGAGACCATGGGTGCCACAGGAGCAGAAAGCATGGAGAGCAGCCTTAGGACTGAGCACCCCATGCCAGCCTGGGAAGGGGCTGGTTAGGCAGGGGTGGGCAGGGAAGGGTGGTGTCACCCAGAGCTGAGGGACACTTGGAAGCTCATTGCCCAGCAATGAGTGTCCCAGCTCTGCTGTGGGTGAGGGATGGGGACACCCACCTTGGGCAGCACCTCCCTGGCTCCCTCTCTGCAGGACAAGCCTTGGTGGTGATGTCTCCAAAACCAGACCACAGGGAAAAAAAGAACTGATTCCCCAAGTATCTTAATATGGATCAATAATCCAAATTCTCACCCAAAACTCCTGGAGAGTTTCATTGAGTTCAGTGTGTCCTTCTTTCATTGTTTGGATTCTAGCAGAGGAGCTTTTTTGGTTTGTCCCATCTGCACCAAAAATCCAGAGAGTACAGGATGAGCAGACCTTTCCAGAAGTTTATCCCTGAACCATTTATTGATTGTGTTTGTTTTGTACAGGTAGAAAAGGAGGCCACAAAGGCCGGGCAAGGCAGTACACAAGTCCTGAAGAGATTGATGCCCAGCTCCAAGCAGAAAAGCAGAAGGCAAGGGTAGGTGTTTGCCTTTGTTACGTACTTGTTGTCCTCAGTCCTGGCTTGTGCAATGTGCTTAACCTGCAGCCCCTGAGAAGTGTGGCTCAGTCAAGAGCCGCAGATCATTCTGTCAGTGATCACAAGGTGGGTTCTGAATATCTCTGTCTGGGGAGCCTGCAGGGTGGGATTCAGTCTGGTTCCTCACAGAGACCAGGTAGACCACACTGTTCACACTGTGAAGATTAAAGGACAAGGAAGACGGTTACACACCAGCCCCAGATATCTCTTCCCTCCCATGTTGCATTGTTCTGGTCTCCAGTGCCAGCTGGTGGTTTTTCACTCTTGCTCTGCAGCTCCCTCTGTCCTCCCTCCAAAACTCCCATTTACAAGTCACTGCTGGATTTGGGATTTTTACTGGCACACATTTTCCCTAATTCCCTGTGACTTTGTAGGAAGAAGAGGAGCAAGAAGAAGGAGGTGAAGGAGCAACAGGGGACCCTAAAAAGGAGAAGAAGTCTTTAGATTCAGATGAGAGTGATGAAGATGATGATGATTACCAGGTACTCTTGTTCTCGGGGTACTTAATGCATTTGCACCACCCATGTTCTCTTCACTCCCAGGTCTCTTTGACTGCTGCCTACGGCAAATTTTTAATGGAAGGAGTAATTTTAGAAGCCAAAGAAAACCCCTTTCCTTTGAGTGCATTTTGCAGTGAAAGGAAATTTTCATTCTCAGAATGAAAACTTGTGTAATTGTAGCATTTTTTAAAAAGGCTGAAGATGCCTGGCAGTGCAAGTCTTTGTTCTGGGATGGTTTTGTTGCCTGGTAATGAAAACCTCTTGGACATTTTGCTGTGGGAGTGTTTTGCAGTGTGTCTGAGGAGCTCTGCTGGAAGATAGGGGTGGATGTCAGAGGCTTTTTAACCTTCCTCTTCTTCTTGAACCTCAGCAAAAGCGCAAGGGAGTGGAGGGGTTGATAGACATCGAGAATCCCAACCGTGTCATTCAGACAACCAAGAAAGTCACTCAGCTGGACCTGGATGGACCTAAGGAGCTCTCCCGACGAGAGCGGTGAGTCTTCCCTGCTGGAATTTCATCCTGGGAGGTGCTTCCCTGCCCTGTGTGTGTTGGTGTTTTGGGGAAGCCCTTTGAGTGTGTTGCTGTGCAGAGCAGATGCTGAACAGCAGCAGGTGGTTGGGCAGGACTCTCTGTGGTTCAGTCTCCTTAACTAACTCCACAGAAGTTGTCTGTCCTCTGGGAGTAGCCATGGCCATCCTGGGGCCAGGCAGCTTGGCTAGGTGCACTGGGACAGGGAAGTTTTGCTGTTGAAGTGGGTATAGACCATTCCTTTCCTGAAGTTTTGTCCCAAAAGTCAGACCTAACTGAAATCCATTAACCAGGAGCCACCTTGGGGGCCATTTCAGCCTCTACAGAAGGTGCCCAGGTGGCAGGTATTGGTTTCACAGATTCCAGGGGTTGTGGTGAAATTTTTGTCTGAGCAGATGAGTCAGATGAGAACCAAAGTTGAATCTTCTAATTTCGTTTAGCAAGGGAGAGTTCCAGAGTGCAAGATTATGGGGTAAGTTGCTTCAGCAGCAGCTCAGCCCTGTGGGGTGAGGCTGAGGAGAACACGTCACAGTTGCTGTGCAGTCCAGGGCTGATTTGTTTGACCTCATGGTTCAGTGTCCTTTGGCTGAATGAAGGTGGAAATCATCTCTCTCATCACCCCTGTTGAAACCCATAGGTAGAGCCTGTGCTTGAAAACTGGTGACAGGGCCCCCCAGCTCTGCCCTCACTGTGTCCTCCCAGCTGAAAGCCTCCCCTGCCCTGCCTGTGCCTGCCTGTGCCTGCCTGCTCTGGTGGGCTCCCTGCTGACTGGTGATTCATTCCAACAGGGAGGAAATAGAGAAACAAAAAGCAAAAGAAAGGTACATGAAGATGCACCTTGCTGGGAAGACAGAGCAGGCCAAGGCAGATCTGGCCCGATTAGCCATCATCCGGAAGCAAAGGGAAGAAGCTGCCAGAAAGAAAGAAGAAGAAAGAAAAGGTTAGAGAGTAATTAATCTTATCCCCTGGCATCTCTCTGCAATGGCTGTGCTGCCATGAAGTGTGGTTTCCCATGTTACATGTGGTCATCCCTCATCTCCTGAGACTCCCTGGTGTTGCTACAACTCCTCTTGTCAAAACCAGGTTCAGCTGTTTCCTTCTTGCAAAGCT